CCCCTAAACGCCTAATTTTATCCTAATACATGTGACTGCATTTCTCGTATTCTTCCTCGGCATCCCTTCCCCCATTTCCAAAATGGGAGTAGGGTTTAAGGAGAATGACGGTGGAAGGAAAGGCAGTGTGTGTGTGTTGGGGGGAGGGGAGGGAACGGGAGATGGACGTGAGGTGAGCGCCTTCCGCGCGCGGAGTCCGCAGACTCCAAGGCCGGTTCCGCATGGTCAAGGGTCGATTTAATGGCGCAGGCGCCGTACTCTCTCTGCGCGCTCCTCCACTCCTCTCCCTCACCCAGCATACCATCAAATGATGCGCGGGTCTATTCTCACGAAGCCCCAGGGGTGTTCTACCTCGATCCTTCCACGCTGCCACGTCCCCCTTTTCCGGGATTTCTGCAAGTCCCCCGCCTTCTGCGGGAAGCGAACCTCCTAAGGGCCGCCTACCCTCCCCCAGGTCCAAGTCTCCGCCGGGAGCGAGGCTGGACTGGGCAGGCGCCAGGCGCAGCTCGGCACAGCTCGAGAATCCCTGCCCCTATATTTGACCCCCTAGGAGCTGTCCCAGCAGGGCCTCCTAATGGACGGTGACAAATACAAACTGCAACCTGTGGTCCAAGCCGGGCCGGAGGTGCAGAACCTAGAGAAGCCCCACCTGGGTAGAAGAGAGGAGCTGGCCGGCGGCTTCCGGGGGTCCCCAGTAAGACGACAAGGAATGAAATCAGCCCTAGGCTGGGGAGGAAGAGGTTAAGGCAGGAACCACCCCCAGCCTTATCCTAGGTCTCCGGTTTCCTCTGCCCTTTCTCCAAAAATCAATTCACCAGGACTGCTGGGGCGGCGCGGGCGCTGTCCCTGGTGCTGACTCCCTGGTCCTCGCCACGCACCACGCACCCGGCTCCGGCAGTGCCCCGCTCCCGCCCTGCTCTCCGCGAGACGGCCATTTTATGGTCTCTCCCGCACCCAGAGGGATGGACAATGGAGACGGCTTTCCCTAGTTTTCTTTCTTCCTCCCGGTGTGTGTAGGGAGCAGAGAGTGGACCAAATAAGAGGGGTCTCTGGGGCGGGATGGAGCCTGCGCGTGTGCCAGCTACCCCGCCCCCAGCCCGCTGAACTTTAATGGCTACCTTGGCTTCCCCCGAGCTGAGGCCAGCACGTTTGTTCGTATACTCACACTCCTCTCCAGGTCACAGTTTGCGCTGAAGTTTCTAAATCCGTCATTTGTGCCCATTACGAATTCTCTGACCCACGAACTCCAAGAGAAACCTTCTAAGTGGACATTTAATCGGACAGCGTTTTTACATCAAAGGTAGGACAGGGGGAAAAGATCCAAACGGTGTTTTTGAATTCTGGAGCTCAAAAAACAAAGTAATCCAAAACAACAAAATTCTATCCCCCACCGCCTAGGTGTATTTGCATTGTCTTCCTGACCTGACTGTACAAAGGCCGATTGATAACCTTTTTTATGTATGTAGTGCCTTCGAAAATAAAAAATCAGGAAGACCAATTTAAATGGAAGAAAAAAGATATTTCCAGTATCCTCCCTAATTTGGGCTTAATTGAGCACCATAATTTCTGTATTTAACATGCATGGCTAACACTGCCAAAGCCATCTATTAAAAATTAAAGTTAATTGTAAAAATACCACCCAATGCATTTTCATTCCCCCGCTGAAAAATTTTTGAAAAATTAAGTAATATTGTCTCATTGAAACAAAATACCATAATCCATCCCTATAAAATTAGTACTCACAATCTTGGTCCAAATATATGCAGGTATTTAAGTATGATTTTATTTTGGTTTTGCCTATGTGTTTTCATTAAACCTTTACAGCTTTTAAAATACTGTAATAGCTACCCAACATCATTTTTATTAGTTGTCTTGTAGCAGCCTCATTTATACGTGCAGGAGCTAATGAGGTGGGGGGTAATGGGTTGAGGTTTTTTTGTTTTGTTTTGTTTTCTGTTTGAGGTGGGGAAGAAGGATGAGATTTATTCAAATTTATTTATTCTCCTCAGTGATTCTGGGCTACTCTTAGCAGCCCCAAATAAATCATTACTTCTTCCTTCTTGGTAGGATTATTATGTTGTGAAGTGGAATGTGGGCCACCTAGTGTATTCATTAGGGGTGTGAATACTTATTTTAAATACTTATTTTACCAGTCTATTTAGGAGACTGTGTTTTGGTCAAAGCATTTCTAGTTATTTCCCTCTCTTTTATTTTAATCTAATGACAGAATTTAAACAAATTTGGCAGATATCCATGGTGTCATGAAAATGCTGTTTACTTAAAAAGCTGACATCCAGTCATGTGATTATGATTAAAATTTTTAAAACACTGTTTAATGAGAAATTAATCTTTGACAATAATTAATTCTAAAATCCTAGAAGTGCCTTATTTTAACTACTGGGTTTTAATTCAATACTAATTTTATAGGCAACCCAGAAAAATTTAAGGGGTAGAACACATTATATCTTTTCCCAAAACATATTTCTAACTCAGTAAAAATGTTCTTCCCATACTAGTCCATGTGATCTAAATGCTCAGCCAGAACAATATTTCTTTCTCAAAACTTCCCTCTTTTTCAGTCTATATGTTAGGTAATCTTTAATTAATTTCCCCAGCGTCATTTTAAACCCACTTTACCTTTGTAACAGCTTGTAAAGAATAGTTTTGGTAACTTTGGAAGTTTTGGATTAAAGCTTTCGCTTTATGTTGTTCTATACTTTGACAAATGAAGTAATTTATAAAAATAAAGTACCAGGTAAAGTGATGATATGCAAAGCATTTAGTTTCAATCCTGCTAATTTTTTTTAGGCAGAAGACAAAAATTCAATGTAATTTCTTAGAATTGGAGAATAGCAAAGTAACATATTACTGGTCTCTCTTAAATATTTTAAATAGCTCAGACTTTAAGAGATGCTTAATTTTACTTAAAGTTCAATATGAAAGCAACCTGAAATTAGTGCTGAGTATCACCCTTGCCTTGTTATTCTCTGAATTCTTAGAATATATGCACTCTTTCAGGATTTACAATAGCCTCATTTTCGAAGGATTAGGTATCTCCAACTAATTGTGTTTCTATATAATCAAGTAGAAAAATATCCCTGTTTCATTATTCAGAGGACTTTAATGAGATTACCTCATTTCTATTAAATATTCAACTACACTCACTGCTATTACCATTTTCATATTTTAATAATAGATAGTACTATACTGACTCATACCTATTTGGCTCTTATTTGGACACCAGTGATATTTGATATTCCTTGAACACTGCAGTCCAATAGCAAACAAGTAGTCCCTAGTTACAAACTCTAAGTCACCAGTGTTTGTACATTAATATGAGCTCTTTGGGGCCTATATAAATTGTCTTCCTGTATTTTCTGACACAATTTGGCCTGTACCTCCCCCATGATCAAATACACTCTTCATGTATAGCAGAAAACCAGAGAATGGCAGCTAAAACTGTAAGTTACAATGTTTGCAAACCTTGAAGGATTACATCTACAACTTTACTGAGAGATTAGCATGTCTGTAGATTCTGAAGCAGTCTTCCCCTCACAGATCACAATTACTGTGTATGTATAATCATTCTTGGATTCAGTGTACCTACAACTCTTGTCTGAATGAAATAAATGGCAGCATAAGCCATAAGATGGAAAATCAATTTTGAATGGAATGCATTTAATGAATTTCTTTTTATTTTAGGCAAGAAATTCTCCAGCATGTCGATGTAATAAAAAATTTTTCTTTGACCAAGAATAGTGTTCGGATCGGACAACTGATGCACTATGATTATTCCAACCATAAATATGTTTTCTCTATTAGCAATAACTTCCGATCACTTCTTCCAGATGTGTCACCCATTTTGAATAAGCATTATAATATCTGTGCTGTGGTCGGAAATAGTGGTATCCTGACAGGGAGCCGGTGTGGACAAGAAATAGATAAGTCAGATTTTGTTTTCCGTTGCAATTTTGCCCCTACGGAGGCTTTCCAAAGAGATGTTGGAAGGAAAACCAACCTTACCACCTTCAACCCCAGCATCCTGGAAAAATATTACAACAATCTTTTGACCATTCAGGACCGTAACAACTTTTTCCTAAGTTTAAAAAAGCTCGATGGGGCCATTCTTTGGATCCCTGCATTTTTCTTCCACACTTCAGCAACTGTTACCAGGACGTTAGTTGACTTTTTTGTTGAACACAGAGGTCAGTTAAAGGTCCAATTGGCTTGGCCTGGAAATATAATGCAACATGTCAACAGGTGTGTATATTTTATTGCTTTTAACTCATACCCCACCAGATGGCAAATCAATATTATAATCTCTTGGGGGTGGGAGCTTTCTCATTAGTTAGCTGTTGTGGTTAGCTTAGTACTTTAGGTCAAACTCCTATGCTTTGTAATGAATGAATGAATGAATGAATCGTTCTAGGTAAGAAGTTCAATCTCCTGCCCCCAGCTGGTAACCAAGTGCCGAGTTGGGGGACTGGTGGTTCATTAGCCTCCCCTCTCTATATTCCCTGTCCCATACCTTGGTCATGGAAATCATCACAGATCAAGAATATTCTTTAAATGGGTAGTTATGCCTTGATTATGCCAATGCAAAATTAGACAAATTGAGCAATTTTTTTAAAGATGCAATTGACTTAAAATGTTTTTTGATATTTGGTGCTTTATAGATGTTCAATATCAGACAACCACCTAGATAAATCATAAGTTATATAATCTGCCTTTATAATTTTGGATTTGAGTGCCAAAATATATGAAAAGTATTTTATGAGCTAATTGCTATCCCTTGTAATTTGATAGACAGATTGTCCAGAAATGCAATATTTTCATCTAGTTTGATGAGTCTTAACTCTGGCTATATATTAGAATCACTGGAATAACTAAAAAATATTGTTCCTAGGCTCTACTTCAAGAGATTCTAATGTAATTTGTCTGGTGAAGGGGGTGGATGGGGCAGGCACTTGGTATTTCTTAATAAATCCCCAGATGATTCGAATATACATTCAGAATTGGGAGCCACTAATCCAGGGCATTTTATAAAGCAAGATTAATTGTAGGATTTTTTTTCTTTAAATCATCTGAGGAAATTGCCTCAACTTGAATTTTCCCATTGCAAGTAGCCCTAATGTCGTAATGTACTGTCCAGATATTACTACAAGTTACAGTGGTTTCTGGGAGGCCTGGGTAAGAAAGGAATGCTAATGATTTTTATCCCGTAGTAGATTATTCCTATCCTATAATCCTCTAAAGTCTTGCAAATTTAAGATCTGTTTAGTTGACCCTCATAGAAGGAGGAATCATCATCTAATAAACTGGTATGTATCTAACAGGTAGAGTGACGCCGTCATTTATAGTCCACACTGGAACTTTTTCTTTAAGAGAAAGAGGATGCTATTAATAATTACAACAGGGATAACAGACAAAAACTGAGACTGTCCCAGTTTCCCAGGTTGTATGGTTACCTTTTTAAGAGGTAATGGAGCCCAACTCCTAAGTTTAAAGATGAATTGACAGAGGTACAAAGAACAAGAGTTATTTGCCAATGTCTCTACTCCAGAGGGGCAGAACCAGAGTGAGAAGCCAGGCCGCCTACTAGCCCATCCTGTGATCCTTTGACCTCATCATTTTGCTCCCCTTTTGCTTTATTGAAGTTCAGCTGTACAAAAAGAACTATCATTAGTCATTCCAACTCTTTCGGTTAAAATATTAAAACCAAGACTGAACTTTTAAATTTCAACTGGAATGATTATCTGTAAGCCTTCAAGTGAAGAAGGCACTGCATGTGCTTAGAAACTTCAGGAAAACAGCCTTTGTGGCCTGCCCTGTCCCCAGCCTTTGAGAAAGCCCAGGGAGTTAGCCATAGTGCCCCACAGCCACTCAGGCTTGAACCAAAAACATTGGTTCAATGGAAACTAAAAGGAAATACCGTCCGTAGAAACCGGATTCATAACCGGTTTAATTCTGCCTGTACAGCCAATGATAAACTCATACACACACGCACACACTCTCACACTCACTCACACACCACAGCAGTCTCAATAAGCAGGCAATGTAAATTAGAAGCCTTCAAAATACTATCTAAATATGAAACAAGCTACAAGCATAACTTAGCTTTTTTTTAAAAACAGAAAGAGTATAAATACTTTTCTTAGGTCCTGACATGCTAAAGGAAGGTTTGGGAAGACAGAGGAGCAGGGAACATAACTTTTTACAAGAGGGTAGAGAAAAATAAGGCCCCACAATCTTTCTATACCCAGAAAGAAGGATTTAATCTCTAGCTTTGGGTAAGGAGCTCTCCTCAGATTAAACAACCTCTTCCCACTTCCAAGGGCCCTTTGTGTACAGAAAGTGAAGTAATTTTCATTGGTGGGCTTCTGTGGTGTCACCATTGAGCCAGGTCCACCACTCTCCAGGACAACCCAGAGGCAGGTTCAAACGTGTGCGACCTGTTCGGTCGCACAGAAGCCTGTTCTCAGAAGGGCACGGCACTTGGTTTAATAATCTGTTATCTCCCTCCTGAAATTCTCAATAATTTTTGAAATAAGGACACACATTTTCATTTTGCGCTCGGTCTCACAAATTATGCAGCCAGTCCTCCCCAGAGGTGTTTTGTGGTCTAAAAGATAGATTCAAAGCAAGTACTGTCTAAGTTGCTTAGACAAATTCACCGCCCTGCCCAGTTACGATGACCTAGCTGACTGAAACAAACACTGGCCTCTGAATCCACATGTATTTGTTGTTCACAGGTACTGGAAAAACAAACATTTGTCACCCAAACGTCTGAGCACAGGTATCCTTATGTACACCCTTGCATCAGCAATATGTGAAGAGATCCACTTGTATGGATTTTGGCCTTTTGGATTTGACCCCAACACAAGGGAAGATCTTCCATACCATTACTATGACAAAAAAGGAACCAAATTTACCACCAAGTGGCAGGAGTCCCACCAGCTGCCTGCTGAGTTTCAGCTGCTGTACCGAATGCATGGGGAAGGGCTCACCAAGCTGACTCTGTCACACTGTGCCTAAGAACTCCAAACAGAAAGTGCCAAATGGCTGTTTAAAAAGTGCCCCAAATCAAATTGAATAGTTGTCAGAATAGGACCCTAGAGAATTTCTTACAGTGATTGTCTGCCATTTAAGGAAAGATATCTTCTCTCCCTCTTTTGCATTGCTCTTTTAAGGGTCTTAGGGCAGATGCAATGAAGCCACATGATTTAAACTTGATAGAAGGAATGTTACGTTTGGAACATGCTGCTAACGAAATGGTTTGAAGTATTTTCATGTTTGTATTTTAATACTAAATTGCCTCCCATTTTTTATGAGGACTAGAGCTGTAGTTTCTGCAGCTTTGCTCAGATACAGTCCTCATAATGAGAGGCCCCCTAGCCAATTTGGGCAGGATTTCAGTTTTGTCTTAGTGGGATCAGACTCTTTGAAATGGAAACATAACTAGTTGCATATCATCTCTCCCTCTCTGCCTCAGCCTCTGCCTCTTATCTATCTCCATCTTTCTCCCTATAACCACTCCCCTTACCCCGTCACCATGGAGTTTAATAATTTGCTAAGAATCTTATGGAATTAGCTTTGCTTGTATGTGTTGCATCTGTACTTGATGTGTTTAAGGCTCTGAGTAACTTTGATGTTTCATGGCAAACCGCAAATCATGACGGATCTCCTTATGATTACTTTTATAAGAAATGTCTCTTATGAAGTTCTCACTAGTCCAGACAGTCATTCTACAGCACAGTGGTCCCTCTCTGGTGGGTGGCATATAATGCAGTGAATCTTTCACGATCACAAAGAAAGCCTATTTTGTGGGTGGCATCACATCTCTTGATGTGAGTGCTATTATGGCAAATCACTGTTGCCACATGGGCAAGGGCATTCTAGCCTCAGTTTAGTGCCTCCCACAATCGCTACCCAAGCACTGGGCTGGGAATTCTCTCAGAATATAGAAACAATGAGTCAGCTTAAGCAGCTGGGACATATAGAGAAGGATGAAGAATGCTTAGAAGTTCTTATGGATCCCGTATACCTTAAAGTGTTGTAACCACATTGCCGATTCACAGCCTTTGAGAACCAGCAGGATTTGAGCACAGTAGAAGCTTAGAGGTTGGCCAGGCTGGGCCCCCATGTGACAGATAGTGCTCAGCTGAGGTCATCTTCAGTATCCTTGTATCTGTCCACCAGCACCGCTCCAGAACCATTCGTTTCCTTCAAAACGATTGTAAATACTGGCTATTCCTTCTTTCCACTGAAATCAGATCTAGGTACCTACAAATTAAGCATTTCAAAAGGAAAAGCCATTGTGTGGTGGCAAGATCTGGCACTAAATAACTCTTGGAATTTGAGATGTGTAGACTCGCCATTAAGGAATTAGTTGGCCATTCTCTTGTTTATTATTTCAGCCTTAGGAATAGAAATCACATCAGTCCCATCCCTGGCTTTTAACTGAGCAGCACTTTGTTCTTCCAGTTCAGCCCAAAGTCTGGCCAAGTTGATGTTAAATTTTAATAAGAGTTTCTTTCTTCTTTCCAAATGCCAGTCAAGCACAATTATAATACATTCGGGTGGGGTAGCTTATTCTTTTCCAGAAATCTTATCTGGATTGCTTGTAATGTTATAAATACTGTTGAAAATAATTGCTGTAGATCAGTAATCAGCTCATTGCCATTCTTTGAAAAGGTATAATCATGCCTAAAATTAAACCAAATACAATAAGGAAGACACAGTCCTTATGCTCATGTTCTGCCTGGTTCTAACAAGGAGTTGTCATATCGTATTCCACTTTTTTTCAAAAAGCTAATCAGAGCAGCCTACACAGATCCAAATATTAACTAAGGGAAAAAAACCCATACAGGTTCAAACATGTTACCAACTGTAACACATATTACAACATAGTACAGGTGGAAATCATCCAAATAGATGGGAAAAAATAGGAATAGATATTTCAAAGTCAAAAGCACTGAAACAGCTCAATATTTGAAATAATTAGAAGGGGAGATGTTAAAAACATTTTAAAGTCAATGGCATAATTTGCTGGGCATCAAAACCACACTATGCTGTTCCCTGTCACTTTAAAGAGGACTGTACCACAGTTCTCATGCTGTGCTGTTAGGATCACTGCAAGATTGATAACTGACAGAAGTGTTTAGTTGGCTCTTCCTAAGCACTTAGTTCATTTGGTTACAGCTAAGTAATATTAATGCCAATATTACACCGGCCAGAGTTTGACTCTAGAGTTTTAATCCCCAATGTGCCCATTAGATTTCACTAAATAGCCATGCAGGCTAAAAAAGCGAAAGACCAGAATCCCTAAAACCAGTTAATTGGTCTATGGTGGACCAATTAGATCTCATCATTATGCCAAGTGTTTGTTTATTTGTTTTAAGTTCAGGGAGATTTTTTAAATCTCATTTCACTCTTGGCTCCGTCTTAATCTACAAGAACTCAGAATGCTGAGGAAAATGGACTTGTCTCCCAGAACTGGAAGGGCTTAGAGATCAGGCTTACCTCCTGTTCCAGGCAGAACTGGAGCTGATCCCTTTTCTTTAAAAATATCTGAAGAAAACCCCAAACCCTCCCATAGTGGTTACACAATTCTCATAATTTATAAATTATTTATAGTCTGTATCCCTCCTATTGCAAAAATTAGATGTAATATGCAGGTAAAGCATTTATCTCAGTTTTCAGCATGTAGTAATTAAGCATTGAATATATAGCAGCTTTTACGTTATTTTTATTGTTACTTATGCCCTAGACCTGCAGTTCCAGCATAAAGGAAAACAGCCTCTAGCTGATCATACGAAATCTTGTTTTTAAAGACTGTTTCAAAGATTAAAACTATATGACCACTGTCATGACTAAAAGGGTCAGTGGGTCCCATGAGTCCTGCTAAGGAAGGCAGTGGTGTAAGTAACCAGAACTTCCGGGCCTGCATAGTCAAGAGAAGTGAACTGGGCAGACAGTTCTGATTCAGCTACAGATACAGACTCCTGGCTTTTGCACTGCCCTTGCTTTATTGGTCTAGGTTAAGTGCATCCTTTTGTCAGAACCTTTTCTCTGAGGATATTCACAGCAGAGTCCACCCTCAGCTACTGGAATATATTTCACCATAAAGCCCCCAAGGCTGTCTACATATGACACCAATACAAATGACCAATTCAGTTGTAGAAGGGGAAAAAAAAAACCCACAGACATTCAGCAACCTGCTTAGTGCTAGTCCCTCAGTTTTCATCAGTTGTTCTGAATGTCATGTGCAGACGTGTAGTTCCAGGGGAGACAGAGTTAAAATGAGATATCAAGAATGCCTCCCACACCCAGAAAAGCTTTCCCATATTTGATTATTAAACATCTGTGATTCCTCCGCCTTTGCTTCTGTGTCTTAAGTGCCCTTGACCTTAGTAAAAGTGCTCGTATTTAATAGTGTTGTGTGCCTAGCAGTGCTGACTGTGACCACTGTGCCATCTGTCTCTGACCTTGATGTCAGGCATCTGACCATGGGGCTACCAGCCAGGATGTGCAAAGGGAAAGGCTGCCCCAATCCCCTTGTGCCCAGGCCTCTAGGAATCCACGAATGTGAATTGCAGGACTAACCTATTTGGTGGGGAAGCCAAGGAATGGAAGAGCACTTCTTTTGACTTTGGGCAAGGTACTAATTATTAGACTCTCAGATAGCAAAGAGATGTTGACCTGAGGCCAAAGGAAGCAGGGACAGAATTGTAAAACCCTGAAACATTGAAAATGGAAGAGCCTTTGAGCATCTTTAGTCCTAATTCCTGACTACGAATAAGAAATGGAGAGACGGAGAGGCAAGTGATTTTCCCAAGATTGCACAGGTAATCAGTGGAGAAATTAATGACTCTTCATCTAGTACTTCCTTGTCTTAGCATCAAATGAAATGGGCTCAAAGGGAAAGTGATTTGGGATTGAGGTTCACAAGGCACAGAAAATAAGTTAGAAAGGCTGTAAAGGAGGAAAAAAAGATTCTCCCCCCCCACCAAAAAATTATTTCTCAGTGCAAAACAATAAAGGGGATGCTTGTCTAGGTATACAACCATCCACTGAAAATAACATACATTCTACCCCGAAATGAGAGAAAACTGTCTTGGTAAATTATGATTCTGGTAATCTGGTAAATCACAATTCAGTACTGACGGTTCACAGTTGAAAGCTGGAATCTTAAACAATTTAGTCATCTTAATAAAACCTTGTTTTAGTATTACGTATGCATAATTTAAAAGTTGAATACTAAGAATGGCTATGTACTTCTCTACATGTATAATTTTCAGCTGGGGCCCCTGACGTAAGAAATACCTTTTGTAATGCCTCCCACATTGTAAGCAATTCCAACGGCAAACTTTGCAGTATTGCATTTAGTTCAATATGCTAAGATGTACAAATAAAAACAAATAATTTGGGCTAGGTCTTCATGTGCAGAATGACAGACTAAGCAGTTTTCTATATAATTCTGGATCCCTAAATCTTTTCTCTCCTAATCGTGTGAATGTGCCAGACAAAAGCATATGTTTAGCCTTTACTTGTCCCTGAATGTGCAGACTGTTCCTTTGGTTACAAAGAGAGTTGGGGTTATGTATATGTGGCTGAAATAACCAGAGAGAGCATTACAAGTCCTGGAACTTAGAGGCCCTGGGTCACCTGATTGCCCTGCCTGGGCTCTGTGACCCAATTAATCAAGGCCACAGGTGAGCTGGCACCAAGGACCAAAATGACTTAATATGCCTCTTTCACACTCGGATTGCTTTGCCACAGCAAATTTTAGAATATCAATCACTATGGTATTATGAGTATTTTTTAAAATTTCTTTTTATTGTGATGACTTATTGATGATATATGTGTTTGAATAGATATTTTTTATCCTTACTGAAGCTCATTCTCTTGTTGATTACAATGGAATCACAGTGAAGAGCCTATCATAGAATAAATGACTCCAATTTAAGATTACAATGGGGTTATAGGGTTAGGACCTGGATTATGTTACTGATCCACCCGCAAACAATGCTGTATGACATGAGAAGCTCTTTAAAATACAATTCTTGCTCCTCACCCCAGACCTTTGACTCAGAATGTCCCAGGATAAACTCAGCTTACAAATCCCAAGTGATCCTGATGTGGCTGGCATTTGGGAACCAACAATATACAGCAGTCATATATACCATTATGACCAAAGTAACTGAATGCTTATTACTCCTCATGCAATTAGTAGCAGATCTGTTCCTTTAAGTTATCATGATACACGGCAATAGAGACATAGCCTTAGTGACTCATTCATTGAACTGTTTTTGGCTGACTTGGCCAGTCACAAATCTGTAAGCAAACAGTAGCTGGTTAATTTAGTCAGAACGGATGCAAGCCTGGACAGAGAGTGGGGAGACAATCGTTTTAATATATTTTACCCCAAAGCCAGCTCTTTATATTTCAAACTAAGAGGCAGATCTCAGGTCATTCATCTTTACAAACAGAGAAACGGGGAAGTTTAATGATTCATTCAGATTCT